AGTCTCTACCAGGGCTAGACAGATAGCGAACATACAAAAAAAGAGAGTCCACACGGCCATATGGAAAAGACTTGTCTTTACGGATGTTTATTTCCACATTTGTCTCTTTATCTTTTTCTTTTTTCCATTTTTCCTTTTTTGTAAAACTGCAACAAACACACAAAAGATGTGTATTAACAAATCGTACATGTTACGACAAAAATAAAAGCCCCACTACCCAGCCCAAACACAGGACAGAGCTAGCAAAAGAAACTAGCAATAAGCAACACCGCGAATGCGTCAAAACTACTGTTCCAACCTTCAGATATTTATAACAATACAAGAAAACAATATTATAACACAAAACAAGCCGAACTTACGGACAAAGATGCCCCAAGGCCGAAAACAGAGACGTATTCTGTCAGACTGCGAACCGATCACGCTTGTAAGTGAGCACGTGCGGTAGAAAAAACAAAACTTAAAACCAAAGGCGTCCACTAGAGGGCGGCAATCAACTTTATAACAAACAAAGTATTAAATGGGTCAACAGTACAATCAGCATTAAGTGTTTCTAATTGCTTGATCTTAAGTTCTAGACTTGCTTCTTGTTCTTGTTCTTTCTTTTTTTATGAACAGAAAATGAAATGATTTTACCTCATAAAACTGCTTTGCCTGTTTGCCAGAGAAGTGTGGGTGATGACTTTGGGGAATCATTTATTTCTAAGAAGGATGCCCACTCTCTTTTGATATAACTGTCAAAATCTGGTTCATTGAGAAGGGATAGGTTGAAGGTCTAGGGATCTAGGGGCCTGTTTAAGTTGCTTGTTTATGTTCCATGTAATTGTAACTGGGGCATGGTCGCTGATGATGATAGGGTGGATTCTTGATTCGGAAATATCTAATATAATTGAATTACTGGTCAGTAAGAAATCAATACGGGAGTATGAATGATGGACCAGTGAGTAAACGGTGTATTCTCTAGTGGTTGGGGGTTGTAAGCACCAACTATCGCCAAGACCAAAATCCTTCATGTACTGTTTTACTATTTCAGTAGATTGCCAGATGCGTTTATTGCTTGTGTTACTGGAGCTGTCCAGTGATGGGTCTATGATTGTGTTAAAGTCGCCTTTGGGCCAAATTTATCGCTGCTAAAATGAGTGGAAGTCAAAGGGAGATCAGGGGGCGACCCCGACAAGATGATGAATGATGAGCACGTCAGCCCTACCATCAAATATGGTATTGATATCAGTATCAGAACTAAAAAAAACGTATTTTCAAGATGCTACATTGCCAATTAACTCCCATTTTCAGTGAAACTGTACACACTCATTGCTCTGTACTTACTTCATTTTCCAGCTTTATGTTTTTAATCATGATACATGTAGGATTCGGCAGTATTGTGTAGTCATTTTGATACAAATGAAAAAAAAAAGTCACATCACACGGCTCACTCACTGTGTGATTTGACTAGTGCAGCTCCCACTGGGCTCCACAGTTTTCTAACACAGAAGTCAGTGGACTTGTTCCTTTTATTAATCCTTTTAAGATGAATATTGTGATTTAAAATGGACCAATTTTAACATAATGACTCACAGGTGTCATAGATAATAAATATAGTAAACACACACACACACACAGAGAGAGAGAGAGAGATAGAGAGAGATGTACTTAAAGTTAACAATATTGAACTGCTTTACTCAATATACTACAATAACCTGGCAAAAATGTTTGTTTTAACTTTTCTTCAGTTCAGTTGACTCACACAATAGCTGTAGCTTCAAAATTTTGCAATTCCATGGCTGGAAATATTCAAATTATTCTAGTGATGGTGTATGTATGAAGTTTAAAATGCAGTGGAGCACTTCCTGTATCACCTGTCAATAACATCGCAGGGTGGATTCAGTCACATAGCCTAAATATGCAGGATCTATATTAAACATGTGAATGAAACAAAATACTTCTCGAGATATGTGATGAAGAGACAATCTTATAACATAGATCAATTAGATACAGTTACTTTATTTAGCAAAAACATCAACATAAATAAAATGACAAAGCTTATACCATGGTCTTACATAGACACAGCTCTGCTACAATGAATTGAGCCATGATAGTCCAGTCTGCCTCCAGGTTCTATATAGAACACTGGAGTGGACAGGGCATCCACACCGTCTCTGTTGTATGCAGTATTTTTGTGTATGCAGTATTAAATTTTTTTCCCATAATTTAGTATCTATGCAAACTTTTACCAAAACAATAGGACCTAAAGACCTTCTTAGTGGATTCAAAACATGTCCTGCCATCAATTAGTCGACTAAAAAGGGGTCATAGCAAAGACAGAGAGAGAGACAGAGAGATATGGTTTATAATAATAATAGTATATTTATAATAGTAATAGTATATTCTATTATCATTTATTATGAAATGCTTATAAAAAGCCCACAAAACAAAGCACAGTGTGGCCTGCTGATTCACTTTTTCACTTCACTTTTGCAGCTGAAATAGAATGTAAGCTGTGACTTTAGATTTGAACAGATCTTGGACAGTTAAAGGTTGTATAGAGGATTTTCCAAGGAACGAGAAATCCAGCGACTGTTTGTCCTTTTTCAAATGTTGCGCATGCGTGAAACCACCCCCCCTCCCCTACAGCTCCCTACGTAGAAACGCCTTCTCCCGCCTCCTCTTTACGCCAGAAACAGGTTTGTTTACAGCCGGTGAGCTGCACATGACTTGTAAACAACTAACTACAGTGTTGGTTAGGCAAGGCGGAGAAGTGAGGAGCGGGGGGAGCGGGTGTGCGGACATTTCGTTCGCGGACGAGAGAGAGAAGTGAGGAGCAGGGAGAAGAGCGGAGCAGGGAGAGAGGAGAGAGGAGAGAGAGAGGGGGAGCGGTGCGCGGAGATTCCGTGCCCGTAGAAGTGAGGAGAAGGGGGAAGAGCGGAACGGGCAGCGGGGACAGGAGTAGGAAAGGGGAGCAGAGAAGGTTGCGCGGAGATTCAGTGCGAATGAACTAGCTACAACACGCAGCAGCAAGCGGACTCTTTCTTTGCCTTGAAAATTACGTTTTCAGACATAGGATATCGCTTTCGTGTCCTGAAAAACGTTTGACTAGCTCTTGGAAATAAAGTACGTTTTCATAATAAGCAGAAGTTACCTGTCCAGGAGTAATTTGGCGACCAATGCGTCAGTCTTTAGACCCTGCGTCTGCTTCAGTCGCGCCATCGCTGGAATGAATCTACAAGAATCACCTTAGTTTGGCTTCGCTGCTTTTCCCCTTGTCTTCTTCTTTCAGCGACCTCAAAAACGGACTTTCTTTTGCGGCTAACTGCTCCTGGATTCTTGTCTGCCATTGCAACAAACTTTGTGCTAACTGCGAGGAAGATATAGGTCAAAAAAAGCCGCTAAGAACTGTTGCGTTGGTGGAGTAAACAGCGTCTGTGCGTCTTGCGTCTGTGGACTGCGTGACAGGCGTACGTAAACCACGTACCGGCGGCGCGCAGGCAGGTCAGTTACGCTAGAAACGTAGGGAGTTTGATTGATAGCCTGTCAGCTAACAGATAACGAGGCAATGTCGTTATCTATTGGCAAATGTTTAGCTGGCCCCACCACGTCCAGAGTTGATGAATTTTTATTCTCTTTTTTTTGGTCATCATAATTACAAGGCTACTGCACCTCTATAATGCTATCATTGACAACTTGAAACAAAAAAAACAAAAAAAAAATCCTCCATACAACCTTTAAGGCCAATTTACGGTCCAGCGTCAAATTGTCGATGCAGAGAGTCTGCATCAACGTGAACCCCCCTACGCAGAGCGTTTGCGTCGACCAACGTGCACCTTCCAAATTTTCTAACTACGCGTCAAAACGATGCAGACAGCAGGGGAAGCGATGCAGATGATAAGGGCTGTGATTGGTCCTCCCAACTACACTACATATATTTCCTGTACTCAGCTTTCCTTTCTTTCAATATACACTGAGAAATCATGTGTTTAAAGCAGCTTTTGAGCATACTGTATGTGTTTACGATTTACAGAAACAAAACTTAAACTGCATGTCTAACTTGCACAAACAAAGTGTTCAAAAAACAGCCTTCTCCTTGTGCCCTGATACGGTTCAGTTTCTGTCAGACTTAAAAACGACACGACTCAGTGGAATATGAGTGTTCTTTCTATGACAGAGGGATATTGTACTAATAGTGAGTCTGTTCTGTGCTTTTATTGCGTCGGAGATGATTCATGTTAAACTTTTCAGAAATTATACGTCTGCAGGTTGTACACACAGACCGTATATATGACTGGACAGATATTCTAGCCCCCTGGTGTTTTGGCAGTGAATTACCTTGTGGTGCACAGACCTTGACGCAGATCCATAAATCCAAAAAGGACAGCGACAAGGCGACGGTGGCAGTGCGCATTGAGTCGATGCAGAACAATACTTCACCCTTTACTACTACAACTACTTGGATGCCTGAGCTTTTCTCTTCTGAGTTTGTAGGTTTCTCTGGTTTCTATAACATGCACAATAAATTTAATCTTTCAGTTAACCTGATCAACCTGACCAAGATTAGCTCAAGGAGATAACTCATGTTGTGGTGAGCCACCCAGGACCGACATCACCACCCCATCCATGTGTGCTTTAAGTTTCGAAGAATCGTCTGTCAGAACATGGATGCTGATGACCACTCTAGTGTTATATAAAGTATGTTTATGGAACTGACATTTACCATGTCAACTGTCAATGGCCATGGTATAAACAGGTTTAGTTCTTCACTCACTGTCAATAGGTTAGTTCAGAAGGTAGCATGAGTATGTATTAGAGTTATTGTTAGAGGATGCTGTGAACAAACAAAACTATTTCTTATGCGCTGTGTCATATTAAAAACAAAATCATCATCAGCATCTTTTCTACCACATGTGAAGTAAATCCTTGTACCACGCCTAAGGGTGAGCAGTTAGAACAAAGCAGATGAGATGAGTGTGTGTGTGTGTTTGAGGGTGGGGGTGGGGACCCGGCATTCTTACCTCGGATTGGTGTACCACCTGGAGAGGTAATGTGAATGCAACAAGATTAGAGACACATACCATTAGAATAGAAAGCAGTCACAGAGGGACCAAAGCAGAGAAAGATGGTGTGTATGTGTGTGTGTGTGTGTGTGTGTGTGTGTGTGTGTGTGTGTGTGTGTGTGTGTGTGTGTGTGTGTGTGTGTGTGTGTGTGTGCGTGCGTGCGTGCGTGTGTGTGAAGGAGAAGGGGGGGTTCTGCCACTAGCTTGGCAGGTGTTATTCCTCATTTAATGTCATATTGAGAGAAAATCAAATTGCTCTGAGGCCCCGGCCATTAGTGGCACTAAGGGCAATTGTTTGAGGGCCCCTCAAGATTCGGGGGCCACCTACTTTTGCCTAATAGTCGAGCCACCTCTGCCCAGACCGTAGACAGCTGTGAAGTGGACTAAGGGAGTGTGATGTCACCCACAACATTCGGCTCCAGTCAAATAAAGGGGTCGAGGCTAGCAGTTATAAGGGCAAATATGGAGCTCAGATCCATAGGCTGTTCTTCTAATGCTCCATCCTGTCTGCACCACCAGGATCATGTAGAGCAGGTTAATACAAACATGAAACCTGAAGAACTGTTGAGCTTGACAGTTACAGAAGGGCGGCAGTTTTTCAATATAAAGTGAATTGGAACCAGAGCCGGAAGCACCAATGCTCACTTCATGTTTGGAACCCGGCAGCTAGTAAGTTAGCTATCTTCATTCATATACAGTCTATGCTCCAAACCAAGAAGCATTTTTAAAAGAAAGTCACATGGAGCTGCCTGATACAAGTGTAGTTACCGTTTGTGTTATGCTAACTGTAGGTTCTGAAGTTACAGTTAGGTTCTGTCTGAAGGTCTATTACTCAAGCTAGACTTTAATCTATGATTTATTTCACCACAACTTGACCAGAAAAAGCTGACTTAGTTGGAAGTACAACAGAGTGAGCTGATTTCCACTGTTAATCAAATCTCTTGCACATTACATTACAGTTACAGTCAACAGTTTTTCAATCAAACACCTAAAAAGGACCATGCACTGATAACAGGCACCTGAAAATGTGTCTAAATCCATTTGGCTAATGTGCATATTGTGTCACCAAGGTAACTGTTGAACATTCAAGTAATGCTCCAGAAGAAATCAAGCCTCTATGAAGAATTATCAGACTGAACATTTGCTAAGCAGGGCCGGGACTGGTCAGGACTGGGAGACCACTGGGTAAATCAGGTGGCACAGGGGGGCGCCAGTCACTAAAACGGTTGTTGTGTACTACATTTCACCCACATTGCCTAGTATGAAAGCAGTGTGTGTGTGTGTGTGTGTGTGTGTGTGTGTGTGTGTGTGTGTGTGTGTGTGTGTGTGTGTGTGTGTGTGTGTGTGTGTGTGTGTGTGTGTGTGTGTGTGTGTGGTGGTGGTTGGAGGGGCCACAGATTAGCAGCCTCACTTCAGTCTGCCCCAGGACAGCTGTGGCTACAATAGTATCTTACCACCACTGGGTATGGAGTGAATGAATGATGCTCTGTAAAGCATCTTTGAATGTCCAGAAAAGCCCTGTATAAAACTGATGCATTAACATTCTTGTGAAATATACTATATCTCATCAAATCAAACAGTGAACAAAACACCAATCCAAGGGAAGTTTTTTAACTTCTACTACTCCTCTACAATAGGGAGAATGGCAGTGACAGTAGAGGGGTCCTGAAGCTGTGTGGCCCCTGAGATCAGAGGCCACCAGCAGCTTTCATGGAGGTGACAGTCTGATCTCATCTTAGCCGTGTTCATGACAGACCCTTAAAATAACGATGTGAAATATAATCAGACCATTATATTTCCACAGCGTAAAAGTGTCCTCCTGAGATTTCCTCACATCTGTCTGGGTGAAGGAGAGGAGATATCTCCTCTGCTTATGGAAATAAAAGTACTGCATACAACCACAGGTTAGACTACTCATCATTTCCTGACAAATTATTGTTCATATCTACATAATAACAAACCAGGAGGCAGGGAGGTGACAAGATGCCAAAACCTATGCACAGAAAAGTAGTCCCACACAAGTACTTTTTGATCTTGAATCTGCCCTACCCTGCAATTTTAGCCCTCATATTGACTTGAGACTTGAGATCTCCTTAAATCTCTCTGGGTGAAGGGGAGGAGGTATCTCATTATTCTGCTTTAGGAAATAAAAGTACTGCATATGACAACAGGTTAGACTACTCATCATTTCCTGACAAATAATAATACATGACAACACCTCTATTTAGTTAAATGAATGTAAAAAACTGCAAGAAAAGTACATTTCTTGTACATAAATATGTCCCTGCATTTTGCAGTTCTGTGCCTTGATTACATTGAAGTGATACTTCCTGTAATAGTTTTGGAGCCTCCTCCATAGTTTTGCTTCCTTTTTCTTACTCTTATTTTACTCTTGCTCTTATACCTAGGCTCATTAGTTAGTTAAAGGTAGTTAGAGTTTGTGGCTAGTGGAGATCTACCTCCTGAGGAGACTAAGGGGGGCACACCTGAAGACCTTCTTCCAGGGTCCTAAGGTGTCCTCTGGACTCAGTGCAAGAGGTGGGTGATAGCAGGGTCCTGTCCTTTGTACTCAGTGGAGTGTTTGTATCTTTATTCTATCCAAAGCATACTTGAATATTCTGGTAAAATTTTATACTCCTGTTAGGATAAATAACAAGGCTTAGGTGGTGTATAACTACTGCTATGATGTAACTGATGTGCTGCTATACAGTTATGGATGTACTGCTATATTTGATTATTGTACTATTAGAATTCACTCTACAATGACCCAGAAAACAGAGACCAGATTACAAATGAGGGATGCAGAGATAGATTCAGTTCATGTACAAGATATTCTATTTCTCTCTATATGTCTAATCAGTTAACTAACTAGGACAAGGATTTATTGATAGGGATATGCTGACTCACGACTCATCACCATGAGCAGACCAGCGAGATGCTCCCGAAAGGGGAGTGAGATGAATCTGGGGGATCCTTGTCACAATCGAAGACAAACAAGATTGTGCAACGTGCCAAGAGGCCTGGCTGGTCTGTGCACCAACGAAGAGGCACTAAGTCGCCTCCCACTATAGTCTGCGTATAAAGAGCATTTTATAGGCGTACATTTTCAGTCTCTGCATGGGAATGTCAGCGCAGGCTCCTTGCACAAGTATGACTTTTCTAATATTGTATTAATAATAATAATAATAATAATAATATTTTTTGTTTAAGCAGAAACTAACGAACAAGCGAGGAAAAAGGGTTATTTTCCTCAACACTCCTCGTGTTTTACATTGCTTTGCAACACTGGGATTTCCCCACTGTGGGACAAATGAAGGTAATAAATAATCATTATCCCATTTAATGAGAATACTTTATAAAACACAATGTCTAAACAAACCCTTTTCCCACACAGTGCTGTGTGCAGTTCTGATAGTGTACAGGAGGGGGCACCTGAGCGTAGCTGCTTGACTCTCCCATTGCTGTTGCTGATGTCCACAGGGAGAAAATCTTTGTACCAGTGGATGTCGGGGTCCGGGGCCCCGCTGGCAGCACACAAAAGTGTGGCCGTGCGTGTGCGTTCCACCACCTTCAGCTGGGGGCCCATATCGATGGTGGGAAACCCATGAGGGATCTGATCCTCTGCAAAAGAAAAAAAAAGGTTTGATTGTTAATGAATCAAATTTGAATCACATTTTCACATCTGTGTAACAAACTGTTTCTGGAAAAGGGGGACTGCATGGTAAATAGGCTTTCTCACATCTAACTGACTATAGTTGCATGTAGAGGAGAGGATTCCAAATATGCTCTTTTTTGTCAGCTGTAAACTGAGACTAAGAGATGTTCAGAGACTTTTACCCCTAAGATAGGTAGATTAGCCAAAATTATACTTGAGTCAGAGTTGTTGTGGAAAAAAATATTATATATCTCTTGAAGATAAATAATGAATCCATTTGCGAAGCCCGATGAGTTTTTGGAATATAGACCAAGGTTTATTTTTGCTGCAGCAGATATGGACAGGGCCTAGGCCTGCCCTGGCCAGAGCCCAACAGCCTCTCCCCAGCAGCATGTCCCTACTCCATTCTTCCAGAGTGTCTCCCCAGTCTCTGCTCTGTATCTGCCCCGTACCTCCCCAGAGCATTTGAGCTCTGAGTATTTGCACAGAAATACAAGTTGCATACATATCAATGCAGAGTGACTTTGGTTTCAGAGGCTGGTGCTAAATGAACATACAGTTGAGGACAACAAAGGGCTTCCTGAAGGCGGAGACAGTTGTGTCTGATGAACCTTTACACATGGGTTTCAGGGAGAAATCACATTCATTTACACAAAGACAGATTGAGAGAAATCTTTCCACAATCTAAATTTCTATCACAGAGTAACCATTCTTCAAAGTAAAATCATGATATAATGTTTGTACCACACTCCATATTCCATTATGTATTGTATTACGGATTGTATGCTGCCTGAAATAAGAATTTCCTTTGGGAAAATAAAATATCTATCTATCTATTACTCAAGTAGAAGTACAAAGTAGCAATGGTCTAACAAACACATTAAAATCATTTCATATCGTCAACATAAAGTGTTTACCACTAGACTTACTCACACTGGAAGGTACTTACATTTATACTCAAGCAAGAGTATTGTTACTTTAGAAAAACATACTCAAGTAGGAGTAAAAGTATGCTACTAGGAATGTACTCTGTAGCTTGTGGTTCTTTAAAGGGCTGTATGTTTGATTCTGTAAAAAGGTAAGTTACCAATGTACTGTACTGTGCCAATGTACTGCTGTGCCACTTTTTTCCATTATTAATAATACTTTTAATACTTTAAGTCACCACTTTAAGTTACCACTTATATATGAAGCTGGTTATCTCAACTGGTAAGTCATTGGACTTTCACATGGGGGTCCTGGGTTCCTTTCCTTGTTATCATATTGTCATCATGATCTTAAAACATGTCACCAGTACAATTTTAGAATTATACTAAGGATACAGTTAAAAGGGAAATTGTTTTCTCTTTTAAACTGTATCTTATTTTTTTAAGGATTGACTGATGTATTATTGTCACTGACTTCTTACAATATTAAGATGTTTTACTTAATTATTTTATTTGTATATATTTATATTTTGTATGAATACATCTATCTGGTTTTAGTTATAGGTCTTTCATGTTTCAGTTTTTAACTCATTCATCATTCCCAGTAGTGAGTGACTCACCTTCCATCACGGTGAGCTTGGCGCTGGCATTGACCCCACCCACACTGTTAGTGGCAGTGCATTCATACACTGCTTCGTCACGGTGCGAGCGCAGAGGCTGGATCCGCAGAACAGATCCTAAGCCGTCATCAAAGTCTATCACCTGAGCAGAAGGATACACGTAGGACACAGCATGTATAAGTGACACTTAGCATTACATTATATTTTTTCTTTTTTAATAATGTGCTGTATGTTTTATTGATCATGTTTTGTATTGTTTTTTTATATATGCAAAATTGTATATCACAAACAAAATGGCAATGTTAAATGGTCAAATAATTAAACATGAGAAATGAGAGGTCAGACAGGGACAATGTAAATTCAAAAGATAAATTAAATTAAAAGTGGTGCCAGGTGTCTAAGAGGTCATGGCTAGTGATCTGTTCTTGCTGTCCATAAAGGTGAGAGTTCTTTGGTAAATGTTATGAAAAGAGGTTTACATTCAAAAAACAATTTTGTGGATGAAAAAAATTCCAAGTAACATTCAAAAATAGCTCATTTTTTATTCTTACACAGGAGACCAAAGATAATTGCTTAAAGTGGGGTATTTTAGAGAACAATCAGAAATGTACATCTTCCCATACAGTAAAACTATGGACACATTCAAAAAAGAGGTGCCCTGTTGTTTCTATATCCACAGCCAGTGTTGGTTAGTAACAGATTACATGTACCGGAGTTACGTAATCAGAGTACAAATGATGAGTAACTGTATTTAGTTACAGTTACTGTTTCAGTGAGTGGTAATTGGATTACAGTTACTTTGTTGAAATAAATGGATTACACGGTGGTCTTTTCCTGTTTTTTACATTTTGGGCTGTATCCCCTTTTCTTAGTTTTTTTCCGTACTTGTACTCATCACTGGACACTAAACCAGGACTAAACCAGGACTAAACCAGGTCTAAACCAGGTCTAAAACCAGGTCTAAACCAGGACTAAACCACGTCTAAAACCAGGACTAAACCAGGTCTAAACCAGGTCTAAAACCGGGTCTAAAACCAGGTCTAAAACCAGGTCTAAACCAGGTCTAAACCAGGACTAAACCAGGACTAAACCAGGTCTAAACCAGGACTAAACCAGGTCTAAACCAGGACTAAACCAGGTCTAAACCAGGTCTAAACAAGGTTTAAACCAGGACTAAACCAGGACTAAACCAGGTCTAAATCAGGACTAAACCAGATCTAAACCAGGTCTAAACCAGGACTAAACCAGGTCTAAACCAGGACTAAACCAGGTCTAAAACCAGGTCTAAACCAGGACTAAACCAGGACTAAACCAGGACTAAACCAGGTCTAAACCAGGTCTAAACCAGGTCTAAAACCAGGTCTAAACCAGGTCTAAAACCAGGTCTAAACCAGGACTAAACCAGGACTAAACCAGGACTAAACCAGGACTAAACCAGGTCTAAACCAGGTCTAAACCAGGTCTAAAACCAGGTCTAAAACCAGGTCTAAACCAGGTCTAAACCAGGACTCTAAAACCAGGTCTAAAACCAGGTCTAAACCAGGTCTAAACCAGGTCTAAAACCAGGTCTAAACCAGGACTAAACCAGGTCTAAACCAGGTCTAAACCAGGACTAAACCAGGACTAAACCAGGTCTAAACCAGGTCTAAAACCAGGTCTAAAACCAGGTCTAAACCAGGTCAGGGTTAAACCAGGTCTAAAAGGGTCTAAACCAGGTCTAAAAACCAGGTCTAAAACCAGGACTAAACCAGGTCTAAAAAAACCGGGTCTAAAACCAGGTCTAAAACCAGGTCTAAACCAGGACTAAACCAGGTCTAAACCAGGTCTAAAACCAGGTCTAAACCAGGTCTAAACCAGGTCTAAACCAGGACTAAACCAGGACTAAACCAGGTCTAAACCAGGTCTAAACCAGGTCTAAAACCAGGTCTAAAACCAGGTCTAAACCAGGTCTAAACCAGGTCTAAACCAGGACTAAACCAGGACTAAACCAGGTCTAAACCAGGTCTAAACCAGGTCTAAAACCAGGTCTAAACCAGGTCTAGGTCTCAGGTCTAAACCAGGTCTAAAACCAGGTCTAAAACCAGGTCTAAAACCAGGTCTAAACCAGGACTAAACCAGGTCTAAAACCAGGTCTAAAACCAGGTCTAAACCAGGTCTAAACCAGGACTAAACCAGGTCTAAACCAGGTCTAAACCAGGTCTAAACCAGGTCTAAAACCAGGTCTAAAACCAGGTCTAAACCAGGTCTAAACCAGGTCTAAACCAGGTCTAAAACCAGGTCTAAACCAGGTCTAAACCAGGTCTAAACCAGGACTAAACCAGGACTAAACCAGGTCTAAACCAGGAAAAAAACAGGTCTAAACCAGGTCTAAAACCAGGTCTAAACCAGGTCTAAACCAGGTCTAAAAACGGGTCTAAAACCAGGTCTAAACCAGGTCTAAACCAGGTCTAAAAACGGGTCTAAAACCAGGTCTAAAACCAGGTCTAAACTAGGACTAAACCAGGTCTAAACCAGGTCTAAAACCGGGTCTAAAACCAGGTCTAAAACCAGGACTAAACTAGGACTAAACCAGGTCTAAACCAGGTCTAAAACCGGGTCTAAAACCGGGTCTAAAACTAGGTCTAAACCAGGACTAAACCAGGACTAAACCAGGTCTAAACCAGGTCTAAACCAGGTCTAAACCAGGTCTAAAACCAGGTCTAAACCAGGTCTAAACCAGGTCTAAAAAACAGGTCTAAACCAGGTCTAAAAAAACTAAACAGGTCTAAACCAGGTCTAAACAAGGTCTAAAACTGGGTCTAAAACCAGGTCTAAAACCAGGTCTAAACCAGGACTAAACCAGGTCTAAAACCGGGTCTAAAACCAGGTCTAAAACCAGGTCTAAACACCAGGTCTAAAACCAGGTCTAAAACCAGGTCTAAACCAGGACTAAACCAGGTCTAAAACCAGGTCTAAAACCAGGTCTAAACCAGGACTAAACCAGGTCTAAAACCGGGTCTAAAACCAGGTCTAAAACCAGGTCTAAACTAGGACTGAACCAGGTCTAAAACCGGGTCTAAAACCAGGTCTAAAACCAGGTCTAAACCAGGTCTAAACCAGGTCTAAAACCAGGTCTAAACCAGGACTAAACCAGGTCTAAACCAGGTCTAAACCAGGACTAAACCAGGACTAAACCAGGTCTAAACCAGGTCTAAACCAGGACTAAACCAGGTCTAAACCAGGTCTAAACCAGGTCTAAAACCAGGTCTAAAACCAGGTCTAAACCAGGTCTAAAACCGGGTCTAAAACCAGGTCTAAAACCAGGTCTAAAACCAGGTCTAAAAACGGGTCTAAACCAGGTCTAAAACTAGGACTAAACCAGGTCTAAACCAGGTCTAAACCAGGTCTAAAACCAGGTCTAAAACCAGGACTAAACCAGGTCTAAACCAGGTCTAAACCAGGTCTAAAACCAGGTCTAAAAACCAGGTCTAAACCAGGACTAAACCAGGTCTAAACCAGGTCTAAACCAGGTCTAAAACCGGGTCTAAACCATATCTAAACCAGGACTAAACCAGGTCTAAACAAGGTCTAAACCAGGTCTAAAACCAGGTCTAAACCAGGTCTAAAACCAGGTCTAAACCAGGTCTAAAACCAGGTCTAAAACCAGGTCTAAAACCAGGTCTAAAACCAGGTCTAAACCAGGTCTAAACCAGGTCTAAAACCAGGTCTAAAACCAGGTCTAAAACCAGGTCTAAACCAGGACTAAACCAGGACTAAACAAGGACTAAACCCAAACTAAACCAGGTCTAAAACCAGGTCTAAAACCAGGTCTAAACCAGGACTAAAACCAGGTCTAAACCAGGGCTAAACCAGGTCTAAACCAGGTCTAAACCGGGTCTAAACCCAAGTCTAAAACCAGATCTAAACCAGGACTAAACCAGGTCTAAACCAGATCTAAAACCGGGTCTCAAACCAGGTCTAAATCCAGGTCTAAAACCAGGACTAAACCAGGACTAAACCAGGTCTAAACCAGGTCTAAAACCAGGTCTAAACCAGGACTAAACCAGGTCTAAACAAGGTTTAAACCTGGGTCTAAAACCAGGTCTAAACCAGGTCTTAACAAGGTCTAAAACTGGGTCTAAAACCCTAAACCAGGTCTAAAACTAAACCAGGTCTAAAACCAGGTCTAAACTAGGACTAAACCAGGACTAAACCAGGTCTAAACCAGGTCTAAAACCAGGTCTAAACCAGGACTAAACCAGGTCTAAACCAGGACTAAACCAGGTCTAAAACCAGGTCTAAAACCAGGTCTAAAACCAGGTCTAAACTAGGACTAAACCAGGACTAAACCAGGTCTAAACCAGGTCTAAACCAGGTCTAAAACCAGGTCTAAAACCAGGTCTAAAACCAGGTCTAAACCAGGACTAAACCAGGTCTAAAACCGGGTCTAAAACCAGGACTAAACCAGGTCTAAAACTGGGTTTAAAACCGGGTCCAAAACCAGGTCTAAAACCAGGTCTAAAACCAGGTCTAAACCAGGACTAAACCAGGTCTAAACCAGGTCTAAAACCAGGACTAAACCAGGACTAAACCAGGTCTAAACCACGTGTAAACCAGGACTAAACCGGGTTTAAAACCAGGTCTAAACCAGGACTAAACCAGGTCTAAACCAGGTCTAAAACCAGGTCTAAAACCAGGTCTAAACTAGGACTGAACCAGGTCTAAAACCGGGTCTAAAACCAGGTCTAAAACCAGGTCTAAACCAGGACTAAACCAGGACTAAAACCAGGTCTAAACCAGGTCTAAACCAGGTCTAAACCAGGTCTAAACCAGGTCTAAACCAGGTCTAAAACCAGGACTAAACCAGGTCTAAACCAGGTCTAAACCAGGTCTAAACCAGGACTAAACCAGGACTAAACCAGGTCTAAACCAGGTCTCTAAAAACCAGGTCTAAACCAGGTCTAAGGGAGGTCTAAAAAACCAGGTCTAAAACCAGGTCTAAACCAGGTCTAAACCAGGTCTAAAACCAGGTCTAAAACCAGGTCTAAACCAGGTCTAAACCAGGTCTAAACCAGGTCTAAACCAGGACTAAACCAGGACTAAACCAGGTCTAAACCAGGTCTAAAACCAGGTCTAAACCAGGTCTAAAACCAGGTCTAAAAC